AGTGAGCTGAAAATATTTGCTCGGAAGAGCAAATGAATACAGACAGCACTTAGGAGCTTAAATGATGAAAAGAATTCATGTGGCTTAAAAATGACAAATCGATCCATTTTAAAGCAAAATTATTTACAGTTCACTTATCCGCCAAGACTGAAGGCCACTGCAGTGATTTACATGGACAACAGGAAAACTCCAAGTGCTGATAATATATTAGGCCAATGTCATTAAAGGTTGTGCGAAAATCAGGGACTCGATTCCAAGCCAAAGCAGAGGATGGTCCTTGTCTCTTCCTTTTCTCATTTATGGATCTAAGTCAAATAATCTCTTCTAAAAGGGCAGAGAAGAGGAATTAATGGGAAGGAAAGGAAGGTACCGATGGATATGAAAACAAATTTTGGTTCACAAGGGATGTTTTAAAGAAATCTGATAAAAAGGCAAAATTTATTTTCTAGACTCTAAGGGGTTGAGGGTATGAGTCGCTGTAAGAAGTTGAGGGGCAAGGAGACTATAGAAACGATCCTAATTCTTCTTCCCTCTACCACTCTCTGCTTCTCTTGGGAGCCTGCGGGAGCTTTAATGACTTGTACTCTTGCCTCTTTGTGGGACAAGTGGCTCTGAGGTGTTAGGACAACCAGGAGAGTCTGAGAAACAGGCAGGGTCCACGAAATTGGGTGATTCTGGCTGGGGTCACTTGCTAGGCATATTCCCTGAAGATCTCTCCCTCACATCTCTTAACAACTGGCTGTCAGCAGTGTCCTTAGGATCCCTTCCAGGGGAAAGGAATGGAGGACAATGGAAAAGAAACCTGACGCTACTGATCCCTTTCACCTTGCTGCATTTGCTGCAAACAGTTCCGTGAAGAGGACAGGCTTCCTTGGTCTTTCCCATCTTTGGTGTCCCCTGTATGAAAACTTTACATGAGAAGTCTTTTAGTTAACTGGGAAAATTCTGTGTCTTTTATGGATATGGTATGCTTTCTTGGATCTGACAGTAACAGCTAAGTAGATATGGTTTCCTACATTGCTCAGGCTGCTGGGGACCTTGGAAAAATTCCACAGTTCAATCACAGTATGTCAACCTTAATTACAATAAAGAGCTGAGTGATTTTCATTTCAATGTTTGTCCCTGGTTCTACATGATCTTTCTGCTTTTTATTTTTATTATTTATCATTTTTATTTTCTTTAAGTAGGAGCCACACCCAGCATGGAGCCCAATGCGGGACTTGAACTCACAACCCTAAGATCAAGACCTGAGCTGAGATTGACAGTCGGATGTTTAACGGACTGAGGCACCCAGGCACCCCTCTCTGCTTTTTGAACTTTTGAAAGTTTCAGACTTTATGCCCCATGAAGCAGATCTGTATGGATCTGGCTGTTTATGTGGGTACCGTTTCTCTCTCCCCAGCTGCATGAAGGCAGGAATGTTTTCTGTCTTAGATCCTATTGTATACAGACACGAGGTCTGGCATATAGAAGATACTCAATAAATACGTGTTGCTGAAACAAGCGCATAAAAATTATGGTAATTTGAGACGATGATTCCTTTTTTTGAAAGAAGCAATCAAAACATCTTTTGTTTGTAAGCTGCCGAAGAAAGGCACCTAACCAACTTACTTATCATAGTATTTTCAGTGCCTCCTACCAAATCTGACACTAGATTCCTGATACTAACTGCTAACTAAATGGATGGACAGATGGATAGATGGGACAGATGAAGGAAGGCAGAAAGGGAAGGAATACTTCAAAAATGATGTAGTGAGAAAACAAAAGTGAAAACTGCCTTAAAATGCAGGGTTTGCTGTCTATTTAGAGTTTGAAATTCTTTTTTGGTCCCCCCCCCCCCGTTTCTTCTTCTTTTTTAGTAATCCCTTACACCCAACATGGGGCTCGAACTCACAACCCTGGGATCAGGAGTTGCATGCTCTACTGACTGAGACTGCCAGGTTCCCCTAGAGTTTTAAATTCTTACAAAACTCTCCTGTGTGATTCAGAACGAGAGTCTCAGTTAGATAAGTTTCCAGCCAGGATGATTAAATTGGGCCTCAGAATCCGTTTCCTAGTGAGGTCTAAAACCTGATAACAACTATTATTTTTACTTTTGTCTTATTTTTGTATCTGCCATTTGGCAGGAAAATTCCTAATGTTATGGCTGTCCAGGTATTAAATTAATAACATTTTATTAAGACACGGCCATTGTACCCAGTGAGTATAGAATCCATAAACTCAACATTTAAACTAAATCTAAAAGAAGAAACTGCTTATGAAAAGTAAGCTGTAGAGGCTGCCCAGAAGGGGAAACAAGATCAAAAAGTCCCTTTGTTCTGGGACGCCTGGGTGGCTCAGTTGGTTAAGCAGCTGCCTTCGGCTCAGGTCATGATCCCAGCGTCCTGGGATCGAGTCCCACATCGGGCTCCTTGCTCGTCAGGGAGCCTGCTTCTCCCTCTGCCTCTGCCTGCCATTCTGTCTGCCTGTGCTCACTCTCTCTCCCTCTCTCTCTCTCTCTCTCTGACAAATAAATAAATAAAATCTTAAAAAAAAAAAAAGTCCCTTTGTTCTAATAAAAGCCCAACTACTTAATTATTGAAAACATTAAAAAAAAAAGTATGAGGACAAGAAGGAGCTGTCAGTCACATGAGCAAGGGAACAATGTCAGGAGCCTCGAAGAGAAGAGAAGAAACACGGTCCCAGGTCAAGACAGTATATTCACAGAACTAATGGTAAATCTCAGCATATCACAACCTCAGGCACTGTCCGCGTGCATTCATTATGTAGCCTGCATAACTAACCCTATCTGCCGTTGTGTGACTGGCTGTCTGGGACCACGACATCCAGCTTTCCCAGGGACTCCCCCCAACCCCACCAGAGAAATCCCATTATCATCTGTCTCTCTGGCAGGACATCATCAAAATTCAAACTGGGGAAGGGAACCAGCTTTCAACCCACCTGTCCAGAGCTTCCACGGATCACAGATGTTAGCAACGCTCGACCGCCAACAACGGACCTTGGCTCAGAGTTCCGAATTCTGTACGGCAGCTGCCCGGGTGTGCCAGCAATGCTGTGAAAACCATCATCCCCGTCCTGGCACAGAAATCGGGTAAGGACAAGCCCCAGGCTGGGGGCTTGTTCTTCTCGAACCCAGCAACACACCAGTCTCTTAGCTTGTGATAATTAAGAGCCAGCAGACTGTGGGCAAAGCCGTTAAGAACGCTTTTTCCTAGGAATGCAGCCGGAGTAATTGGCTTGCTGCTTGCTAATGACACAGCTTCTACAAAAATAAACTGGCACAGGGAATTCTCTTAACTGACTTGGTGAATATAGGCTCCATACCTGTTTGATATTCCTTCGAGTTCAGCAGTGAATCCCCAAACACTTTGGGGAAGAAACGATGCAGAAGAAATCCTTCGGCCAAGGAAGTTTAAACAGGATGCAAACCCGAAAAGAACCCCTTGGTACTTGATGTCGTGCTCCCTGTGCAAAACTCATACTCCACCCCCCCACCCCATGCTCCTTGTTAAGACTCCATTCCCGTTGGGTGTATAGAAGAAGTCCGTGCATCACACGGCGTGCTTGAGGGCGTGGGAGAAAAAAGGCTGGCTAACTGAAGCGCCTGTGACAGATCTTCCAGATCTGCTTCTTTTCTGAAGGCTGAATAGGCTTCTGACTACGACCGAGGACACACATATGCCGTGTGTGTGCCTGTACACACACACACACACACACACATACACACACAGAGGCATCTCTGTGGTTCCGATGTCGACACCTACCAGCACTTTTCAGCTGAAACATTAACGCGAACTGACAAGGATAGCAGCCCTAGAGTCACATGTTCCGGTCGCCACAGCCCTGTGCCACTGGAATCCCATCAATTATTGCAGGTTTTTCTCTTTGGACAACTTAGGAACGGAGTTTAAGAATGCAGGAAGCTCCCTCTCTCATCTCCTTAATAAACTTCTGCCTCTCACCACCAGGCTTGCAGACAGGTGGAAAGAATCCCGCTGCAGCCCCAGTGAGCTGCAAAGTTTTAAAGGTTCTCCTTCCCCGGATGGCAGAAAGCTGCACATTTTCCCTCTCCCCAGTAGCCCAAGCCCCGTGAAAGTACCCTCTCTCTGTCCTAATGTTAATGAATGGGGGAAGCTTCTTTCTCCCGGATCAATTTCATAGGCATTGTAGTTCCAGATTTTGAGTTTTGAAGTAGCATTTTAATTTGTTGTCAATGCCCTGGGAGCAGAAGCTCACACCACCAAGCAAAACACCACAGCCTCTAAGCTATTAGCTAACATGTCAACTAGGTAATGCATCTTCAGGGAAACCAGATTAGAAAGGACAGCAAAACAGTGATTTTTTTTTTTTTTTTAATCCTATACCTGCAGCATAATGCTGCGAAAGCTACCAAAACAACAAAGGACATTTCGACAGCAAGGAAATGTCTTATTCTCAGTGCTGGGGCAGTGAACGTTGTTCCATGTGAGCATGGATATATATATACACAGGGCAGGGCAGTTCTTCTTTAAACGTGCAGCCTTTTTAATTTTGTAAATAATTCATCGTCCAATGCATAAGAAAGCTCAGGGAGAGAATCTGCCCATGTGAAGGGATGGAAACACCAGTTAAGAGCAACCCTACTCAGGAAGCAGGTGGAGCTTTCCCCAACCCCCCTCCCAGAGGAAACAATAGCATTTGTATCAAGTTAAAACACCGGAGAAACTCATCCATTTGCAAGAGAGTTGTAATGCATTTATACAGAGAGGATTCCAAACATGCATTCTTTAACCTGGCTTCTGCAGCATGCCCACTAATCACTAGACAGTTAAAAGATAAACCCAATACCGTCTCTATCAAAAGGACCCCCAGAACTTAATAAAATGAGTCCGGGCTACTGTTTCCCCCACCTATTCTAAAACACGTTTCGTGAAGTCAAGCCAGACAGCGTCCCTTCCCACCACCAGCCCCACCGCCCCTCCCACCCCCCAACAAGAACCAAGTAACTGATAAGTCCTTACCGACTTTGGGCTCTTCTTGGGAACTGGCAACCCTGGAAAAAATGCAACAAGGAGGGAAGAGGGGAAGAAATCATTAGCATATAAATGTTACCTTTTCCTTAAAGAACAATCCCCAGGTGTTTCATGGCAACCTAGCCATCTGCAGAGTTATGTCAGATTTCTCCCCAGCATCGGAGTTACCAGGCTGTTCATATCGAATCAAAGCAGAGGGAGGAGGAGAGCGAGAGGCAGGAGATCTATCTGCATTAGCTATGCTGGCTTGTACTGCAGCAGCCTGGAGGCTGGGAAAAGAAATTCACAGACCTCAGCGGCCTGGGAAATTGAACACTTGGACAGAATCTCAAATGCTCTTCTGGATTAAGAGAGACTTAACTTACAATTAAGTCCAGGATATTTCCTTTCCACACGATCCACTTGTCAATCGAAGCGGACCAATCAGGACAGAGGAAGGGGTGTATATTTAGTTGCAGAGGAGTACATGGTTAAAATTAAATTTTTCTTTCCTTTTTTTTTTTGGATCGTTTCTTTCCCTTTTCCCCCCCTCTGCTTTTCAGGAGAGGAAATGCCTTCTTTATTTGGAAGAGCTGAACACCAAAAACAAAAAAGGATGCTCTTTTGCCAGCAGAGAACACAAATTCAACTTGGTGTAGGACCCCCTCCGGATCATGGGCACACCTCTCCGTGCATGTCAATCACCCAAGCACACTCCTATTTAGCTTGGAAAGGAAGCTAGCTGGTGTCAGACCCTTAAGGGGAAAGGAGATTGTTGGGGAGTGAATGAGAAATTTCATGGAGCTGCAAGAAGATGAGAAAGGCAGAGGAGAATAAGGTATTCACTGATCCTTGCTGGCTCTTCCGGAACCCTATCCTTCGTGGGAGGGGAAGAGCTGGAAGGGGCTGGTGATTGCCTCACACTTCTAGAAAAGTCAGCAGCGATTAGGAGCAGACATATGGGAAATCTGCCAACTGGGGAGTGCAGCAAAAGAGGGCTAGAAAGGAAAATAAAAGCATATAATGGTGTTTCAAAGGTAATCATTTCTGCAAGCTGCCCTCTCATTTTTTATTTATTTTTTATTTTGGGTTTGAGCGAGGGTTAGAATGCAAAATACGGATTCCATCTGGACTGGGCACCAAAGATATACTTGGGATCTGAGGATTTTGCACTGGCAACTTCAACCTTTTTTAGAAAATGATCCCTCTGTAGTGTGATGATTTCCATGCTTTGGGAAGTGACTTGTCAAACCGTGAGCTGTGCTAAGTTCAGCACAAGTAACACGAGGCAAGGGAAGTGGGTGAGTAGGAGGAAGCCATCAGGGGAGCACTGCTAATGTGCCCACTGCAAGGGAGGCATGACTGGCCATGGATTACTCGTCCCCAAAGGCACTGCGGACACTCTTCTGGCAAGGCTCATCACATCATCAAAACGAGGTCACCACGGTCTGGCCAAGTGGTTCTCAGACTTCTGAAGACATACAGAGAACTTGAAGAACTGTTATAAAGGCAGAATCCCGGGCCCCACCCTGAGGAGGGCCCAGGAGTCTGCAGTATAAACGCTATCTTCTAGGACATTCTGACAGGTCTGAGGACCACATCTAAGGAGACTACTACATTTTCAAGTTGGGTGAACTCAGACAGGCAGCCTGCAGTGGGTTGCCTCAGTGCCTCAGTTTATAAAATGGAGAGAGTCAGGCTCACGTCACAGGATTAGGACAATCTGGACAAGGAGGACAACACATGTGAAAGCCTTATACCTGGCACAGAGTAGTGCCCTCAAATGTCAACCATGACACCTTACCTTGTGAATTTACACCGTTTGGAAAGGAAGGGGTTACAGTCACCTTCCTCTAACTAGAGAAAGTCATTTGCCCAACATGCTAACATACGGAAACCATAGGAGGGGAAATACTTTACCTGTGGAGGAGAGTAAGTGTTAAGCAATTTGGTTGTGTCATTATTCTTCAAAAATTATTAGGTGCTTTTATGTGTTCATTAATGTGATTCCCTTAGGGAATTTTATTATTTAGTGTCGGTCACTGGACAGACTTCAAAATTGTATACTATTACGTCTTTGAATTCAGATGTTTTTCTAATTTATTTTTATTTTTTTTATTTATTTATTTATTTTTAAGATTTTATTTATTTATTTGACAGACAGAGATCACAAGTAGGCAGAGAGGCAGTCAGAGAGAGAGGAAGGGAAGCAGGCTCCCTGCTGAGCAGAGCCCGATGCGGGACTCGATCCCAGGACCCTGAGATCATGACCTGAGCCGAAGGCAGCGGCTTAACCCACTGAGCCACCCAGGCGCCCAGATGTTTTTCTAATTTAGACTGACCTCCTCGCTGACTGGAAGAAGCACCATCTCACTGTAGTTAGCTTTTACCAGACTTGCCTTCTCCCAGGATCCCAGTGACCCTCTATAAAAATGTGTCCGGAATATCCAACTAGGTAGGAGTCAGGGAAAATGGCTTTGATCTATATTCTGCTTATCATGTACAAAACTGACCATCTTAGGGGTGCCTAGATGGCACAGTCAGTCAAGGGTCAGACTCTTGGCTTCAGCTCAGGGAGTGATTTCAGGGTCGTGAGATCGAGCCCCGCATCAGGCTCATGTTCAGGTGTCCTAGGGACTCTCTTCCTCTCCCTCTGTCCTTCCCCCCTTCTCTCTCTCTCTCTCAATGAATAAATAAATCTTTGTCCCTGTCTCTTAAGATTTCATTTATAAAATAAAGGTCCTTGTCTTTGTCCGTCAGAGAGAAGCACTTGCCTGCTGAAAGGTGCAGACACAAGGATGCTCACTACACACCGCTGGTATAAAGGAAAGCTGGAAAGGACTAGAGGCTCTGAACAAACTGAGCAACATGGAACCCATAAGGCAGTCTGCAGAGGTTAAAAGGCATGGGCTCTCTCTACATGTAACACGGACGGTCTCCAAAACACAATGCGGAGCGCAGGCAGCCTGCTACAGGTGGAGACAGGTGTTAAATACACGCAAACACGTGCACAGGCTCCGCTCCCCATGACCGTCCACACCAAACTGATGAGCCGGCAAGGAGGGGCAGCGATGGGAGGGGCTGGTTTAAGCAGATGTGGCCTTTATCTGTAAGTCTTTATCAAGAATACCATATTTGGGGCACCTGGGTGGCTCAGTGGGTTAAAGCCTCTGCCTTCGGCTCAGGTCATGATCCCAGAGTCCTGGGATCGAGCCCCACAAGGCTCTCTGCTCAGCGGGGAGCCTGCTTCCCTTCCTCTCTCTCTGCCTGCCTCTCTGCCTACTTGTGATCTCTGTCAAATAGATAAATAAAATCTTAAAAAAAAAAAAAAAAGAATACCAAATTTTATCTTGCTGAGGCAAGAAAACAGCTAGCTAGAAGTAAACATTAACTCATGAGTGGCCCCTCCATTAACGGCGCAAAACCAACGAGTCCATAGCACCCTGGGATGACAGCTACAGTGGCTTTCTCGGAGGAAGCAGTTCATACAACATTCCAAAAGATCCTGAATCAACAGACACCGCAAGCTGTATTTTAGAACAAACAAGAAAAACTTCTTTTAATTTAAAGAGCAATTTGTTCCACTTTGCTACCTTCTTTTTAAAAAGCCAGCCCTTTTATGGGAGCCAAAACTGGCCACAAATTAGTATTCAGAATGTCAAAACTCGAGAGCCTCTACTTGAGTGCTTTTTAAAAGAGAAATCAAGGATCTGCTTTAAGTCCACACAGTCATTAAATCTTAAAATCTAATGAATATGAATGCTGGAACAAAGCCCCTGATTACGTATTTTAGCCAAAACCACTCAGATGGTTTGAAAACAGCTGGGAGACCTAATGGAAAATATTCAGAAAAGGTCACCATGCAGCAGAATTTTCCAAGACCCGACATTGGATGGGTGACACAAAGCAGCAGGATCCCACACTTGCCAGCAAGACAGTGGTTTTCCCAGGACAAATTACACTTTGTGCCTCCAGGGGTGGCAGGAAGCTTGTGTTATATATGTTGTGTCACATACTACAGACAAGGCTCAGATGAAGAGACAGCACCTGTCTTCATGGGCTCTCCTGCTTTCTTCAGAGAAAGGAAGGGCAATTTCCAGAAGAGGCAGAAGAAAAAGTCTATGGATGGTACCGTCTGCTCTTTGAGTCTAGAAGGTAGCAAATGCTATTTCAAAGGGGTCCCAGAAAACTTTACAGTTCAAAGGTGAGTATAAGTGTGATTTATAGAAGTGAGAAATGTTGGGACCTCAATTTCCCAACCCCTATGAAAAAGATGTCCTTTTGGAGAAAACAAATGGCAAAGACTATGCTAGGAACTAGAATCTGACCAAGTAACAGGAAGAGAACTCTTTCCTTCTAAATATCAAAACCATAAACTATGCTACTGAACATGTTCTCCTAGAACTAAATGGTGAGTGTTACTCTTGGTGAAATTTTATAATGGTTGTCTGCAATAATTTATGTGAAAAAAGTAAAAATAGACTATATATGCATTCAGAAACAAAGACTGGAAGGTTACATGTCAAAACAGTGCGTTCTTTGGCTCACAGGATCATGGATGGTTTTATTACCTATTTTAGTAACTTCTACAAGAAGAAAAGCTTTATTTATTTATGAACACACACACAGACACCGATAGATACCACAATAAAGAAAAGCATATACTGCCTTTTTATGTAGGATGAATATAGTAAAATGCAGAACATTTTACCGTACTTTTAAATCTCAAGAGCCATCACTTACCTCTACATCCTCCAAGAAGTGATAACTTCCCCCCCAAATGAATGTATACGTATGGCTTCTTTAAGTACCACTGTTGAGATTAAGACTTGAGTTTATAGGCTGACTCAAGGGACACAGGAAGACATCGATAGCTCAGCTGTGTTACTAGGAGAAGCCAAACAGAACAAGCCTGAGTTGTAGGAAAGAGATCAGGCTTCTTTGCACCTAACTTCCTCCAGATTAAAGCAAGTGAAAATGTCAACCAGCCTTACCAACTGAAGGAATGAAGAGAAATCATGCAAAAGGCTTTCCAGGGGTG